TTCTTGTGGCTGGACTAATAATACAATTGACTCAAGACAGAGTAACAGGAGAAAAAGAAACTAACTTTAATTCAAAGAAATGAGACTTAAGAAGTGGCCAAAGCAGGCAGCTTTTATACTTTTTAGACAAAGAAACAATAAATTTGTGAGGAAATGACAGGACAAAGAATTTTAGGTTTTGGGTGCTCAGTTAGTGAAGAATCTAAACAGAATTAGGTTTAGCTGGTAAATTAAAGAAGTAGTAAGGTTTGCTTATACAGGTCTCTTGGCCCTAAATGCCATCTCTGGTGATAAGGATGTCTCGCGACCTTCTGGTACAGGAAAAGCGCCTTTCACACAGGAGATTTCCTGCTTTCAGGGAAACAGAGGTGGGTCAAAGCATCCCTCTTTCACCAGCTCTTTCTTATGTAACTTGCCTTCAAAATAATCAATATGCCATTGTGAATGAAAAATGCTGCTTGCCATATCAGTCTGCCAAATAAACCATAATTCTCAATTTTAGGTTTTTTCAGTTGACAATATACTTTTGACCAGGGACAGCAATCAGTTAAGTGCTAACTGCTAGTACTGGTGGTGGTGGTAGAAATAGTAAAAGTCCTAATAATAGTACAGTTAGCTGCTATTTTGATTATCACTACCTCGTCACAGAATTGGGAAACCAAAACTAGTTCTTCACACATTCATTCTTGATACCTACTCCCAGAAACTCACACACTCACAGGGTCATACACACAACCACAAGCCCTGGGTTCCCTCTGCACATACCCTGATATTCTGATTTATAATAAGAAATACGTTCATCACCAGTTCCTGGCACAGAGCTCCCCAAACTCTTGGAATTTCCTTTGTGAGGAGCCAGAACAAGGTGTCTTTTGTTATGTTAATGAATGACTAGTAGGGGGTTGGTTGCCACGGGAACCAACCCAATTACTCAGCAGTTAGAACGTTCAGTTCCACCCCTAGACCTCCAGGGAGGAAAGAGGGCCTAGAGACTGAGTTCAATCACTAACGGCCAATGATTTAAGCAATCATGCCTAAGTAATGAAGCCTCCACAAAAACTCAAAAGGACGCAGTTCCGAGAGCTTCCGGGTTGGTGGAACACGTGGACACACTGGAAGAGCGGTAAGCATGGAAGCTCCGTGCCCCTTCCCGCACATATCTTGCCCTATGTATCTCTTCCATCTTTCCACTCCCGAGTTATATCCTTTTATAAAAATTGGTGGGTGATCTAGTAAGTAAAGTAAGTGAACATTTCTCTGAGTTCTGTGAGTTGCTCTAGCAAACTAATCAAACCCAAGGAGGCGGGGGGCAGTCATTGGAACCTCCGATCTATAGAGGGTCAGTCAGAGCACAGGTGATATCTGGACTTGTGACTGGCACCTGTGGGGGGTGGGGGCATCTTGGGGACCCAGCCTTTAATTAACCTATGGGAATCTGCCTCATCACCAGCTAGACAGTGTCAGAGTTGAGTTGAATTGTTAGGACTCCCAGCTGCTTTCAGAAAAGTGCTTGATGGTGGGGGGAAAAAAATCCACACACCGGAATTGAAATCAGAATTATACATACACATACACCTCTAAAAACGCAAAGCTGGATCACTACACACACACACACACACACACACACACACACACACACACACTGGTTTCCCATACGCTCATACACAACCACAAAAAGTGGGCCACACGCATACTTGTACAAACGCACACTTCCAGAAATGGTAGCTTCTACACACATTCACTATCTGCGGGTCCACAGACAACTACACAACCACAAAAAATGGGATCTACAGAGTCGGTATTTTTTGTGGGCCAATTTCTGTGGCAACTGCTCAGCTCTGCATTGCGCAAAAACAGCCATACATGACACATCGAGGTGCACGAGCACACACATTCAAAATGAATTTACACACACACGTACACAACCACAAAAACTGGGTTTCTCACACACGCAAAACACAAGGGTACACAACCACAAAAATCCGGTCACACGCGTTCACAAAGGTTCATCCTCACACATACACACAATAACACAACCTGGGCCTCACACACATAAATGCACAATGACCACCCGGGACCCGCAAGCCCAGACCTCAGGGGCGGGCTCACACCTCCCGTCTTCTCTCACAGACTCGCGGTCACCTCACGCACCGCCACAGGAGGCCGCTCGCGTCCCCGCCCGGCCGACGCGCAGCCGCGTCACTACACGAAGCGGAAACGAGTCGCAGGGGCTCCTGGGAGATGTAGTCTGGGGCCTGGAAAGGCGCCGCGCAAAGGACTCTGGGGCTGTTCGTTCAGAGAAGGCGCAAGCGATATCCCACCCCTGGTCTGGAGCAACATCCCTTCGCTCCTCTCCTGGGTCCATTCGTGTCCGGGCCGGACAGATCGGAGCCAGCGCGGGCCGGGATCCTTCAACCTCACGATCCGGGAGTGGCCGTCCTGAACGGCGCCACGTCCCGGAGGCTTCTGGGAAGTGCGGCTGAGCTCGCAGTGCGCATGCGCGAGCGCGTGCGTTACGGTCCGTGGGTGAGCCTGGCTCCCCAAACCCCTCTGAGCTCCAGGGGCAAAGGGGAGGGTGTTGGGGCTAGAAGCCCCCGGACGGGAACGTGTAGGTGTGGATGCTGGGGAGGCTGGGTTTGGTTGAAGGGATCAAGGAAGGGTCTCAGCACCCGAAAACATATACGTGATTTTATAAGGACAGCAACAAGTGGGGCCCTGGGAAGCGCTAGGCGGCCCTTGCGCGTGCGCGCGGCGCAGCGTGTTCCGAGGGCTGGTGTAGGGGCGGGGCCTCGGGCGGGCACGCGAGCGGCGATGACCCCAAGAGCGGCTCTGAGTGCGCGAGCGCGCCTGCGTATGCCTGCCTGTAAGTGGGTTGGGGCCTCAGGTCTGTGCCTGTGGAAAGGTCCCGGGAGAGGTGAGTAAGCGCCTGCGCACCGCGTGGCTTTATTTAGGGGCGGGGCCTCGCGCTCTCGTGGACGCCTAGGGGCGGGGCCGCGGCTCGCCGACGTGTCTCGCGCGTGAGGGGGCGGGTCCAGCCAGTGCCGACCGAGGACCGCGGAGGAGAGTACGCAGGCGCGGGGAGCGCGGGGAGCGCGCGGAGCGCGCCTTGCCTGCGCAGCTGCCGGGGTGGGCGTCGCCGGGACGCGACCCTGGAGGACAGGTTGAGTGTGGCTGTGGGTGTGTGCCCACGGCTGCCTGGAATTTTCCGCCCGTGGCCGCCTGTGGGGTTTTGTCTGGTTGTGTGGTGACGGAGTGTGAGGTGAGGGACTGTGTTTGAAGCGTGTGGTGGCGTCGCTGTGTTGTGAGAGGAGAGCGGGTTGTGGCGTTTCTGCGTGTGTCTGTGATGGAGCCAGCCGTGTGGTTACGGGGACGTGCCTCAGGACCATGTTCGTATTTCACCGCAAGGTCTGTGGTGTTTATGTGAGGAAGAGGTGACTGCGCCTGTGGGAGGGGGGCCGGGAGTGGGTATGTAAGTGTGGCTGTGAGAATTTGTGTTGTTGAAGCGCGTTCGTGTGTGTGTGTGTGAGACCGACTGATGTAGGTGGCCGTTTATCGCCGTCTGGAGTGGCTGCGTGATTTGACCGGGTGGCTGTATGACTGAGCTTCAGTGGCTTTGCGGTTGTGAGTGTGTGGCAGTGTGCGACTGCGCTGTCGAGGTGTATCTCTCCCTGTAAGCGTGGAAGGAGGATCCTTGTGGGGAGGACTCTGAGCGGCTTTACGGGCGTGCAGGCTCCTGGCAAGGAAGTATGTGTGCTGTTGTGGGAGGCTTTCTTTCTCGGTAAAACAGGATAACAACACCCGCGTCAGTTTTGGGAAAATTATATAAATGGCGTAACGTAGTGAAATACTCCGTGCCGAGCTTGGCACTCACCAGGCCCTGTGTAGGTGCTGGGTGTTTGTTGGAGTGCTGGTGGTCGTTTTTCGTTGTCCCCGTGCAGAGGTAGAAGCGCGGTGGTGAACGCTGGAGAAATTTGCATCTCTGAACTTGAGATTGAGCAATGCTTCTCAGAGCTGGGGATCTGACCTCTTCTAGCTGAGAAGCGGTGCCCCAGTAGCCCAGCTGCTCCTTGTTGTCTGTTATTGCATTAGTGCATTTGAAGGGAGGGCAGTGTCTGTCCTGGTCTCTGGGACCTGAGGCTGCGTATGGTTGTGTGTCTGCTTCCTAACCAGTGTAGCTTGGGGGACTCTGGGACTTCTGGTTCCATCACTCAGTAGTTGTGTGACTTTGGGAGAGGTCACTTAAATTGCTGACCCTCAGTTTCACCTGCAAAATGGGGATAATAATAGTACCAATCTTAGGCCTGTGGTGAGCGTTAAGTAGAACAGTGCCTGACACAAGTAAGCAACGAATAAATGCTAATTGCTTTATTATTAACCTAATAACCCCAAGGATTCCACACCCAGAGAATCAAACCCACAGGAAGAAAAGCAAGAAGTGGAGCCTCAGAGAAAAAGTTGCAGGTTAAGAGATAAAGTAATCCTAAAGGCTAAATTGAGCTTAGGTTCAGAATTTTCTAGTCGGGGTCCTAGGAGGGCACGAACAGAGGGTCTTCCTTTATGGAGATATCCCTAGGGAGCCTGTGATGTCAAGACGCAAGCACTCAGAGTTAATTTCTTTCATTCTGAGAAGCCCACTGGTCAAGACCCAGTGGCAGGGACTGAGGAGGAGTATCTCCTGATAACACAGCGATCTAGAGACATCTCCGTGTCTAGAGCAGGGTTTCTCAGGCTTGGCACTTTGTTTTTTTTAAAATAAATTATTTATTTATTTATGGCTGCGTTGGGTCTTCGTTGCTGTGCGTGGACTTTCTCTAGTTGCGGCGAGCTGGGGCTTCTGTTTGTTGTGGTAAGCGGGCTTTTCATTGCAGTGGCTTCTCGTTGCGGAGCACGGGCTCTAAGCGCGCGGGCTTTCAGTAGTTGTGGCTCATGGGCTTCAGTAGTTGTGGCGCGCGGGCTCTAGAGCGCAGGCTCAGTAGTTGTGGCGCACAGGCTTAGTTGCTCCGCAGCGTGTGGGACCTTCCCGGATCAGGGCTCGAACCCGTGTCCCCTGCATTGGCAGGCAGATTCTTAACCACTGCGCCACCAGGGAAGCCCCAGCCTTGGCACTTTGGATGCTTTGGGGCAGATAATTGAGAGATGGGGGAGAGCTGTCCTATATATTTTCGGATGTTTAGAATTATTCCTGTTTTCTACTCCCCAGATGCCAGTAGCATACCCCTGCTGCCCCAATTTTAACAAGCAGAAGTGTCTCCAGACACAGCCTGGTATCCCCTGGAGAACAAAATCACCCCAGTTGAGAACCACTGGTGTACAGGACCATGATGAGGGCACACCATGAACATTTTCAGGGCGTGAGGGTGGGGAGGAGAGCAAGGGGGCTGGATGAGAGAGGTGATAAAGGGATAATGTTTCTGAGATGAGAAGAAAGGGTGTCCAAAGCCTGCAACATGGGTAGGCTCTGAGAGGCACTCATTCATTGAGCAGTCAGATGCCTGCCATGGGCCAAGCACCTTGCTAGTCAGGATGGACCAGGTTTCTACTCATTGGAGCTTGCATTTAGTAGAGAGATGAAATTAAATTTATAACAGGTGGCAGTAATTATTTTGAAAAGGAAAGCAGGGTGAAGGGATTACAGGGTGACTGTGGGTGCTGTTTTCAGTGTCGACACCCAGGCTTCCCATGGGCATCTCAGTCAACTCCAAAGCCAAGAATGGCCACCATCAGTGACTCCTTGGAATCCTTTGATCAGGGAATCTAAGGATTTGGCTTTTCTCCTCCCCAGTGCTGAGGTCTGGACTCTTAACAGGGAGAGGTCAGATCTCCAGCCCGCGACTGAGCCTTGGAGACTGGAGCAGTAGTTCTAAACTATGGCCTTGCATAGAATTTAGAAATCTTAAAAGATAAAAATAAGACATGCCTGGACTCCATCCCCAGAGATTCTGACTTAATGGTTCTGGCAAGGGGCCCAGCCATCAGTATTTATTAAAAAGCTCCCAAGAGATTCCTGTGTACAAACAGGGTTGAGAGCTACAGCTGTGAGAGTTTGTGGGCTTCTCTGGGGCTTCTCAGAATGAAAGAAATTAATTCTGAGTGCTTTCAGTATCTTATCAAAGGCAGTCCCTACAGCTGCACTTCCCTGCAATAGGGACATTCCTAGCCCCATCCTACAAGTGAGGAAATCAAATCTGTACCTGTGCCAGCAGAGCAAGGGCAGGTCTGGCATTCAGATGCAAAGCTTATGTTTTCTGCTATAGCTGGGCTTGGGTCTTTGGAGAAAGTACCTTTCTATATCCCCGGCCTCTGGGGCTGGCAAGTTCAGGATAGAGGTGATCTTAAAATACTAGATAGGTGGTATAGCAAAAACAAACTCTGGCTGAATGGAAGCAATGTGTGGGTGCATTAATGGCTGGCTTTCAGTTATGTCAGGTCCCACCCCAATTCAACACCCAGCACAGGCCCCCAGGATCACAGGGGTGCTGTGCCCCAAGGGGAGGCATGGCCACTGTCCAGTAACTCTTTATTTTAATTAATTTATTATTATTATTTTTTGGCTGCATTGGGTCTTCGTTGCTGCACGCGGGCTTTCTCTAGCTGCGGCGATCGGGGGCCACTCTTCCTTGTGGTGCACGGGCCCCTCATCGCTGTGGCCTCTCCTGTTGTGGAGTACCGGGCTCCAGGTGTGAGGACCTCAGCAGCTGTAGCAGCGGGCTCTAGAGCGCAGGCTCAGCAGTTGTGGCACACGGGCCCAGTTGCTCCACGGCATGTGGGATCCTCCCGGACCAGGGCACAAACCCGTGTCCCCTGCACTGGCAGGCGGATTCCTAACCATTGTGCCACCAGGGAAGTCCCTCCAATAACTCTTTAAGCTTGTTCTCATCCAGGTTCTAGCCATCCCTACCTTAGGAGCAGGAATTTAGCTTTGTGCTAAATTGCAAAGCCCCTTCCCACCCTAAGGTATGGGACTCTGGAAGAGAGGCCAGGTTTACAGCGCTGCCCTGACGTGGTGTGGGATCCAGCCTCTTTATTTGTGGTGGTGATGGTGTTTTGAAAAGGTAATTATATATATGATACAGAACGCCAAAGCATAGATAGATAGGGAAAAGTGAGTTTTGAGTTTCCAAGCCTAGTGACCCAGTTCCCTTCTTCAGGGACAATCGCTGCTACCAACTTCTTTATTTCCCTTCCAGAACTTGTCTGTTCCTTTTCAAACTCATGTATTCGTATCCTGTATTTTGTTTTTTCTAAGCATTTTCTCTATATCTTTATTCTCCTCATTACACCGTATCTTGGAGATCATTTCACACAGTACATATAGAGCAGATTTCTCAACCTCAGCACAGTTGACACTTTGGGCCAGATTGTCCTTTGCTCTGGGTGCTGTCCTGTGCATTATAGGATGTTTAGAAGTATCCCTGGCCTCGACCCATTAGATCCCAGGGACACCTCCCACCCCCAAGTTGGGACAACCACAGATGTCCCAGGCATTGCAAGTGTCCCCTGGGGGCAAAATTGCCCCCAGTAAAGAACTTCTGAGGTAGTGCTGCCGTGTTCCTTTTAAGAACTACACGGTGTCCCATATGTGTGTGTAACATTCACTGATTTTCTTATTGATGGGCAGTTGTTTCCAATCTCTTGATAGGAGTAGTAATTGTAATAGGGAAGAACCTTTGTATTCTTTTTTTGTTTGTTTTTTTTGGCTGCACTGTGAGGCATGTGGCATCTTAGTTCCCCCGACCAGGGGTCGAACCTGTGCCCCTTGCAGTGGAAGTGCAGAGTCCTAACCACTGGACTGCCAGGGAAGTCCCAGAACCTTTGTGTTCTATTACAAGTTAATCACTAAAGGGAGGTTGCTTATAAGCTTGAATTACACATAATGGGTTTCTCTGGGAAACCCTGCCTCCCAGGTAATGAGCATTAAGCTAAAATACCTTTGTTTAGCCCATAGGAAACATCCTGACCAAACCCACCTGTGAATGACTGCAGGAAGGAGGAAATTAACACATCCCCTCTGAAATGTTTGACTTTTTTCCCTCCCTTTTAGTATAAAAAAATCTTGAATTCTAACTCAGGAAAGATGATTCTTTGGGACGTGAGTCATCATCATCTCCGTCTGCTGGCTTTCCGAATAAAGTCACTGTTCCTTGCCCCAACAACTCGTCTCTCGATTTACTGGCCTGTCGTAGGGCGAGCACTATGAGATTGGCCTCAGTAACATAATGATAATAAAGAAACTAACATTTGTTTAGCACTGGCGCTGGTCTAAGTGTGTTACATGTTTTCATTCATTTAATTTTCACCACAGCCCTGTGGAGTCATCATTGTTATTTGCCTCATTTGACTGTTGAGGAAGCTCAGGCCCGAAGAGGACAGGGAGCATGTCTGAGGTCACACAGGTAGTGGGTGGCAGAGTTGGAAGCTGAACCCAGACAGCCTGGCTCCAGATGGATGCCCTTCACTGTAGGACTGTACTGCCTCTTCCTACAAACCCTGTCATTTTACACACATACGAGAACGTCTGAAGACAAATACCAGAAATGAGGTTACTGGGTTAAAGGGTGTGTGCACCTTCAGCCTTAAAGATATTGTTGGGCTTCCCTGGTGGCACCATGGTTGAGAGTCCGCCTGCCGATGCAGGGGACGCGGGTTCGTGCTCTGGTCCGGGAAGATCCAACATGCCGCGGAGCAGCTGGGCCCGTGAGCCATGGCCGCTGAGCCTGCGCATCCAGAGCCTAGGCTCCGCAACGGGAGAGGCCACAACAGTGAGAGGCCCGCGTACCGCAAAAAAAAAAAAAAAAAAAAAAAAAGATACTGTTAATTTCTCTCCAACCAGCACTGTGTGAGAATTCTTACTTCGGCCCTCTTAGTGTCAGGCTTCCTTGATGATGCGTGGTGTATACTGAATTAAAAAGGAAAAGAAAGGCAAGAAATAACCGTGTGGCTGTTGCTGAAGATATCTCATGTAAACTTTTAACAGCTAAGGGTGAAGCAGGTTTTGTTTACCCCATTGCACAGGTGAGCAAACAGGCTTTGTGTGGTTTTCCCACAGCCAATAATTGGCAGAAGCGAGCTTTGAATCCAGAATTATCTAATATCAAACTGCTGTTCTTTCCTCCCCAGCAGTGCTGAGTCCCTTGGAGAAAATTATTTTGTGGACAAGAATCGTGCTCCTTCAACTTGGGGTGTGTGTCAAGGGCAAACAGCCATGAGAAACCACAGGATGGATGCATTGCCGCTTCCTGGAGCAATCCATTGTACTTGAGGAATCAGAAGAGAAGAATCTGGTAAATGATTTAAAACATGATTTTATATTAACACACAGACTCAGATTTATCATGATGTAGGATGCAGAAAGTTATATGGATGTTTCAGAACAAAACAGAAGATTTCAAGGGTTTTATGTTATGGGGCAGCTGCATTGGGGTATTCTCAGGCCACAGAGCTAGCCATTAACCCTCCTCTACTGTGCAGGGACATTAGTCAGAAGTTCTCAGACGCCACGTGTCAGTGAAGTGCTGGAGCTGGCTTGCCCTGCCTCACATGAACCCATTTTGCACACCTCTCCCCAGTTCCATATTCAGTGACATCAGTTTGATATATTACAGTGGGCCCTGGTGGGAGTATGTACACCGTGGAAATTGGCAGACACTGCAAATTACCCAGCACATCACTGTCCCAAGGTTGAATACAGAGAGAATTCAGGCATCCAGGATTCTTTGTCACCATTTTCTACACAAGGGAAGCCTTGCTCAGCACAGTCAGAATTGAAGGCCAGGCCACTCGGTTTGTCACTGAGCCACAACTCATCAACCTTAGTGTGCTCTGCTCCAAAGCTCCCCAAGTGCTGTGGCACTCTGATATAACAGAGGTACATATCTCGTAACTGCGGTGCCACATTGACACCTCCCGAACCCTGCCAGAGAAGACAGTGCGAGTATTTGCCGTGTAGACCCTTATCCTGCTCCAAGAGGACAGACTGTGCTGCATGTGGATGGGGCTTAAATCCAGGCTTCATCACTTAAAGCTCTGAGACGTTGGGCAGGTCTTCTTCCCTCTTTCATCCTCAGAATGGAAACTGGAACCCATGTGGTCAGTTTGCTCTAAAGGTGAAATCATATAATGCATATAAATATCCAGTACAGCTCTCAGTCTCATACTTACTACTTTTATTGATTTTTAAATTTTTATTGGGGTATAGTTGATTTACAATGTTGTGATAGTTTCAGGTGTACAGCAAAGTGAATCAGTTATACATATACATATATCCACTCTTTTTCAGATTCTTTTCCCATATAGGTCATTACAGAGTATTGAGTAGAGTTCCCTGTGCTGTACAGTAGGTCCTTATTATCTCATACTTATTATTAACTGGAGGACATTGTTGTCACCAGGGGTTGAGCACACTTAACATGCACACACCTGAGGGCTTCCCCAGAGCATGTGAACAGAAGGACAGTAGACTGTTCAGAACAGAAGACTCACAGCGCACAGCACTGGCCACATGCCACACTAATAACAACAATAATGATAAATACAGCTACCATGATAATTGTCTTGTCTGCTCCTCACAGCAGCAGCCCTTCACCTTCCTTTTGCAGACATAAAGGATCAAGGTAAAGACCCAGTAAGGTTCAGTGTCTTGCCCAAGGTCACACAGATACACACAGGAATGTTGGTCAACTCACAGCGTGCAGTGGAGAACAGGAGGAGAAGGCAAAGGCAGATGTAGTAACAATAGAATTAGTTTCCCACATAATGAAGTGGCACCTACTGCATGTTCAAGAGGCCCCTACCCCAGCTAAGTGGGCCAGGGAGGGCTCTTTGAAGAAGTGATGGTAAAGAAAGTATTTACTACTGGGCCATTTAGTCACTCACGTAGCGAATAGTTAGCCAGCCCCTTCCACGTGCCAGCTCCTGGTCCAGGGCACATGGGGCTTATGCTCAAGTGGTTGGGACAGACTGTAAGCACCAGAAGCAAATCACATAGTGTGTTAGCGAGGAGAACTGTGGAGAAAAGAGAAGTCAGAACTGGGAAAGGGAGAGGTGGGGGGTGATGGATAGGCGGGTCAGGGGTAGGTTGCAGTAATAAATACAATGGTTAGGGTGAGCCTCACAGATAAGGTGAGGTTAGAACAAAGATTGAAGGGAGTGAGGAACTGAGACAGGGGAAAGAGCATTGCAGGCGGGGTCCTGAGGCAGGACTGTGGCAGCTCGTTCAGGGATTGGCAAGGAGGCCAGTGTGAGGAAGGGGAGAATTGTAAGACCTGAATTCATAGCTCATGGGAGGGAAAATAAGGCCAGATACTACATGTAGGCTCTTACCTAATCCTCACAACTCCAGAAGTAGTTCTGTGTTGTCCCCGTTTAACAGGGGAGGAAACTGGCACAGAGAGGCTAAGTAATTTGCCCAAGGCAACACAGCTAATAAAAATAGTCATCAAGCCCAGGTGGTCCAACTTCAGAGTGAGGTGTTTAACACATGCCAGGCCACCCAACCGCTCCCTGTAACCCAGGTGAAGACAGGGCAGGGCTCCAAGCTCCTTCTGGACCTGTGAGTCTGAGTTAGGCAGGGCTGGTGTCCCATGGCTCCTTTCTGCCCTGTTGGAGTGACCTCATAGGCTAACCTCAGTGATCTCCAACCAGCCCCTTTCATCTGGCCTTAGCGCAACCCTGAGATTCCTCTGAATCATGCATTTTTTTTTAGCACCAGGTCATTGACAAAAGAGAAGAAAAGCCTACTTATAGGGCACATGAATGGGAAGGAACAAATGGAAGGGTCACTGTATTTGTTTCCCATTGCTTTGGTGACAAATTACCACCAACTTAGTGGCTTCCAACACACCTTCATTCTCCTACGGTTCTGAAGGTCAGATGTCTGAAATGGTTTAGGCAGGGCCATGTTCATTCTGGAGGCTCTGGGGAGAATGTGTGACCTTGCCCTTTACAGCTTCTAGATGCCACCTGCATTCCCTTCCTGCATCTTCAAAACTGGTGGCACAGTGTATCCAGACCTTTTTCTCTCTGACTCTGCTTCCATCATCTTCTCTGTCTCTGACCTCCTGCCTCCCTCTCGTAAGGGCCTTATGACCACATTGAGCCCACCTGGATGATCCAGGATCATCTCCCCACCTCAGCATCCTTCATTTCGTCATATCTGCGAAGTCCCCATTTTGGCCTTTTTTAGACCCTGCCCTTTTCCAAAGACAAGAGGGCTTGGAATGACTGCTGTTAGAACTGTTCTCTGTGCTGTGGTTTCAACATAAAATGGTTGCACTCCACCCCACTTTCAGCATGCCAGGAAGCATTTTGGACTGGTTACTAAGTCAGTCAATAATTTTTATTGAGCACCGCTTTGCACAGGGCGTGGTCTCACACATGGGAGGAGAGAGTGAACAAAACAGTTAAGGTGTCTGCTCTCATAGAGCCCAAGTCACATGGGGGAGATGGTACCTGCATAAACAAGCCCTTTTCAGGAAGCCGGGGGTACTGCACAGAAAATGGAGCAGTAGAATGGCATAGACTGTATACTATGAAGCAGTGCTGTCCTATAGAAACATAATGCAAGGCAGAATTTTAAATTTTCCAGAAGCCATATTGAAAAAAGTAAACAAATTAATTATTAAAGTTAATTTTAATAATACATTTTGTTTAACTCAATACAGTATATCTGAAATATTACCGTTTTAATTTGTAATCAATATAAACAATTACCAGTGAGATTTTTTTTACATTCTTTTTTTCTTTTTTAACTGAGTCTTTAAAGTCAGGTGTGTCTTCTACGTGTATAGTGCACCTCAATCCAGACACTTAATTGATCTGTATTTAAATTTCATAAAATTTACCATTGGAAAAGTAGATTCACACACCCAAGTTGTTCCAAACATACTTAAAAGTTTACAATAACTGAATTAAGGATCAATTCTTAATTTTAGATTAATAATACATTTTAATTCAGTGATTTTAGTATTTATCATTTATTATGGTTTTAATAATAAACAAATTGAAATAAAATTAAACATTTTCTTATTTCCAGAACTCCACGTCTCACGTGGCTGCTGGCATGTGTTGGGCAGCACAGGTATAGAGTGACTCAGGGTGATGGAGGGCCTCCTGTGGAGGTGATACTTGACGTCTCACCTCTTCCTCTCCCACTAATGCACACCATTGAGATTACCCTTCTAGATTTCTGCATACCTATCTAATGAGTCCCTTCTCCAGCTGTTGCTTCCCCCTCGCCCCTCCCCCACCACACACACCCAGTTTATTTGCCACATAGCCACCGAGAAAAATTTTGTTAAATGTTAGGTCAGCCACATCATTCCTCTGCTCAGCCACCAACCCCCCATGATGCCTTATTGCACTTAGGATGAATTCCAAACTGCTCCTCACCCCTTCATGATCTGGCCGCTCCTGCCCTCACACACCTCCTAGTCCACCACTCCCCGTCTCGCTCACTCTGCGTCAGCTCACCCGCCTTCGCACTTCCCCTTCACATGCAAGCATGTGCCTGCCGCAGGGCCCTTGCACCTGTTGTACGTCTACCCAGAATGCCCTTCTCCCAGTGCCCAGGTGGCTCACGCTGCAGTCACACCTCGGCTCAATGTTGCTTCCTCTGAGAGGCCTTTCCCTGCCACCCCGTCACTCCATCCCCTGCTCGGGTCCTTTTTTTCTTTTTTTTTTTAACACTGTGTTCTATCTGGACCTGTCTTCCCTGCTGGAATGTAAGGTACGTGGGAGCCAGTACCTCTCTGCTCTAACTCTGCTCTCTCCCCAGCACTGGGGACAGTGCCTGGCACCTGATGAGCACTCCACAATTCCTTGTCAAATGGAAGAACAGGTGTCTGCCTGTCTCATTTGCCTCCTGATCTGGAGCCTCCTGTGATCTTAAGAACAGATAGTGTTGGCCGTGGTCCCTCCCTGATCCTGAGAAGGGGCAGGAATGCTTCAGAAGATGTTGTGACCTCCCACAATGTGCATGTCTGTGCACGTGTGTGTGACCAGGTGTGGGGCCAGGGGATTCTTATCCTAGAGACCCTGGGACCACCCAGAAGGCCCAGTCGACTCATGACTTCTCTTCTCTCCCAGCCCCACCTTCTCAGCACTCTGCCCCTCTCCAAATTGAAACCCTCAAGGGGGAGGAAAGGATGCCTGCTGCACGCGGGAAATCCAAGTCCAAGGTAAGTAGTGGTTCCTCGTCCTTTGGGAAAGTTCCATCGTGTAAGAAACCATTTGCTTTCCTTCCATGGGAACGTCCTATCCCACAGAGACCCAACCAAGACATAGTCCCTGGTTTCCTTCCATCACCACCACCGGGTGTGGGAGCGTGAGAAGGGCCACTCAGCGTCCCCCCTCTCCTTTTTTCTCGGTGTGCACGTGACCATTCACCTGTTCATTCAGCATCTCCAGGGTCTCTGTCTGTGCTGGGAGGAATACTCTCCCCAGAGAGAAGACCAGAGCCACCATGATTTCTCGAGGTGGACATGAGTACCCAGGTGGGACCTACTGGGGCAGAGGAGGATTGGATGCTGTACTCCAGAGTTAATCTCTTGATGTTGCTTTGTTTTTACATGTACACCCCATTTTTACAAGGAGGACGTCTCTCTAAGAGACTCCTCATAACCCTGTATTCAGGTTGAGTTAGTTGGAGCCAGGCCAGTGAGTCAGCCTCCTGAAATAAGCATGTTTCAAGACTTTAGATGATGAAGTGATTTTCTACAATAAGCCTCTTCAGTGTAGTTTCTCATAATAGACACTTTTGCCCTCTAAGTTATGTGTATTCATTCCCTATTGCCACAAACTTGGCCATTCAAAACAGCACACATTTATTATCACACAGTTTGTGGGCTGGAGTTCAGATACAGCTTGGCTTAGCTGGATCCTCTGCTTTGGGTCTCACAAGGGTGAAATCAAGGTGTCAGCAGCTGTGGTCTCATCTGAAGCTCAGGGTCCTCTTCTGAACTCATTGGTTATTGGCAAAATTAGATCCCCCTCCTGCATTTCATGTGGCTCCCTTCATCCCATCTTCAAACCAGCAGCAACAGGTCACATCCCATTCATCCTTCACATCTCCTAGACTTCCCTTTCTGCTCTCCTCTTCCACCAGCTAGAGAAAATTCTTTGCTCTTCGGGGCTCCTGTGATGACATCGGGTCCACCTGGATAATCCAGGCTACTCTCCCTATTTTAAGGTCAACTGATTAGTAACCTTGATTACATCTGCAAATAAACTTTTGCCACGTATAACGCAGACACATGTGGTTAGGGACATGAATCAGCAGCCAGACTGCCCAAATTGAACCCCAGCTCCTTCATTTACAAGCTATTAGATCTTCAGTAAGTCACCTCATGTCTCTGGGCCTCAGTCACTGGCTAACATGAGCCAGTACATGCAGAGTACTTAGAAAAATGCCTTGTCTTTGTCAGTGCCCCGTAAATCCAAGTTGATATGCTTTTTATGCAACAAAATCTTTATCATGTTGCATTGTGTTTTAATACACCTGCCCCTTTTGATCTCAGAACCGCAAATGTTTCCTTAATAGAATCCTGGCACCATGTATCTCCCGTGTTTGGAAGTCCAACGTTTTCTCAGCCATGTGGAAGCACAAGCCCACAGTGAAAGGACGTGTGATTTTCCATTTCAGGCACCAGTCACATTTGGGGATTTGGCCATCTACTTCTCCCAGGAGGAGTGGGAATGGCTGAGCCCCATTCAGAAGGATCTGTATGAAGATGTCATGTTGGAAAACTACCAGAACTTGGTTTCTCTCGGTAAGGCTCTCCTGCCCCCATAATCCACAGCTGGCTCATCGTGGGACATCAATCAATCAGTCTAGTCAAGAAAACAGAAGCCACTCCAGTTTTTTTGTTGTTGTTGTTTTAATGGCTTTATTTAGGTATAATTTACATATTATACAATTCACCCATTTGCAGTATGCAATTCAGTGATTTTTTTAATGTATTTACAGAGTGTGCATCCATTACCCTAGTCAATTTTAGAACATTTTCATTATCCCCAAAAGAAAGCCTATACCCATCATCAATCACTTTTTATTTCCCCCTGCCCACTAATCCCGCCAGATTAGGCAAACACTAATCCACTTTCTGTCTCTATGAATTTGCCTGTTCTTGGCAGTCCATAAACATGAAATCAAATATGTTGTCCTTTGTGTCTGGCGTCGTTCACTTAAGGTAATATTTTTGATGTTCATCTACATGGTAGTGTGTATCAATACCTCATTCCTTTTTATGGCGAAATAATATTCCACATTTTGTTTATCCATTCACCAGTTGGTGGGCATTTGGCTTGTTTCCACTGTGTGGCTGTTACGAATATGCTGCTGTGAATGTTCGCATACAAATTTTTGTGTGGATGCATATTTTCATTTCTCTTGGGTATATACCTAGGAGTGGTATATGCTGGTCATATGGTAACTATATATGTAATCTTTTGAGGACACCTGGCTTGTTTTTAAGAGAAAAAATTTAAAGTATTGACTTAACAGGTACTATTAAAAGGTGAATATTAGACACAGATGGTAACTGCAGGACACAGCCACCATCCTAGGGCTGGGAGGACAGAGGAAAGAGTTGAGAGTTTTTAGGACTCTGAGGAAGGGACTCAGACTTCTGAAGGAGAGGGGTGCACTGCCTGGTTTATCCTCTTGAGGGGGCAAGATGAGGCTAGTTCTGGAAGTGCAGGGAAAAAAAGAAAAGCATAAATTGAAACCAGCAGTACCCCTATTGGTAGATGCTGACACGGAGCACCTGGCATAGAAGTGTGGATTACAGCAGATCAGAGAACGGTGGGCTTGGGAGCAGAAAGGCAATAGCTGAATAACCAGCCTCAGGAGTTTCTGGTCCAACTTTTCATGAAAATAGTTGGCTTTGTAGAGTTAGAAATGAATAACTCTGCTGGCTATGACTGAACTTTCATCCTTCTTATTCTCCACCTATCCTTTACATCCTCCATGCTCCTCTTGCACTAATAAACCCCATTTTTGTTGACACAAAGCTTGGCTCTGACAGCTGTGGTGCCCACATCATGCTCAGTTCCAGTGTTTTCCTGTGTGCAGGACTTTCCTTTCGGAGGCCAAATGTGATCACCTTATTGGAAAAAGGGAAAGCACCCTGGATGGTGGAGCCAGTGAAAAGACGCCGGGGCTTGGGTGAGTGACAGAGAACCAAGGCTTAGAAGCTGGCATTCTGTGTAAAGGTGCCCTCCATCATGAGAGGGCAACATCTTTAAGATAATAGTTGAGAGCCACTTTCTCCACCTCAGAGGCCCCAGGCTTGTGCAGAAAACGCAAGCCTCTTCAGTATGAGCCCCAAGACGGAGAATAACCAACATTTAACAAGCTCCTGATTAGGTACTCTTTTAAGTACAGGTTCCTCCCAACAACCCTATAAGGTAGGTACTATTATTATTCCTATTTTATAGATGAGGAAGCTGAGGGCCAGAGAGGTTCGGTGACTTGCCCAAGGTCACCCAGCTAGGAAGTGGCAGCAGAGTTGGAGTTTGAACCCCAGCTTCCGGTCCCAGAAGCTCAGCTTTCAACAGCCTCATCCCCACCTATCCAGTCCCCTGCCTCGGCTTTCATATTTCCCTTCAGAGAAAGTGTGTCCTGATTTCTCTAATGATAGCATTTCAAATGATCAAACTTGCATCATTTTCTTCAATCCTTAAAAAAAAAATTAAAAATCTTTTCCATAACTGTTTATTTTGACTGCTTTTCAAGAACTCATTCCCTTTTCTCATAGATTCCTCTTTGGTTGGTTAAGTTATGGGTTTTTAAAATTTTTTTTGTGTTTTTTTGTTTGTTTTTATTTATGAGTTTATTATTTGTGGTAAAAAGCACATAACATTAAATTTACCATCTTAACCATTTTTAAATGTACTGTTAAGTATATTCACATTGTTGACCAAGAGTTATCTAGAACTTTAATTTGCAGTACTGAAACTCTGTATCCACTAAATACTAGTTCTTCCCACCCCTCCATTGAGCCCTTAGTATGATTTTGACTACTATGGATACTTCATATTAATGGAATCATGCAGTATTTGACTTTTTGTGACTGGCTTTTTTCTGCTTAGCATAATGTCATCAAGGTTTCATCCATGTTGTAGTATGTGACAGGATTTTCTTCTTTTTTAAGGCTATATAATACTCCATTGTATGTATATACCACATTTTCTTTATCCATTCATCTGTCAATAGTCATTTGGGTTGCTTCCCCTCTTAGCTATTGTGAATCATGCTGCAATGAACATGGGAGTACAGATATCTCTTCGAGATCCTGATTTCAATTCCTTTGGGTATGTACCCAGAGGTAGGATTGGTGGATCATATGGTAGTTATGTTTTTAATTTTCTGAGTAAACCTCCATACCATTTTCCACAGTGGCTGCACGATTTTTCATTTCCACCAACAGTACACAAGGATTCCAACTTCTGCTCATGCTCACTAGAACTTGATATTATTTTTTTTAAATATTTATTTATTTGGCTGCGCCGGGTCTTAGTTGTGGCACCCGGGATCTTCGTTGCCGCTTGTGGGATCTTCGTTGCAGCACGCTGGTCTTACTGTGGCATGTGGGTTCTTTTTAGTTGCGGCATGTGGGTTCTTTAGTTGCGGCATGCAGGCTCTTGGTTAAGGCATGTGGGATCTAGTTTCCTGACCAGGGATTGAATTGGGCCCCCCTGCATTGGGAGCATGGTGTCTTAACCACTGGACTACCAGGGAAGTCCTCTGGGGTTTTTTTTTTTTTTTTTTTTTTTTTTCTGTGTTTTTTTTTGTTGTGGCTTTTCTTATGGTGTGAGGTGATATTGTGGGTTCAATTTGCATTTCCCTGATGATTAGTGATGTTGAGGATCTTTTTATGTGTTTATTGGCCATTTGTCTGTCTTGGAGGAATGTCTGTTCAAGTCCTTTGCCCATTTTTTAACAGGGTTATTTGTCCTTTGTTTTTAAATTGTAGGAGTTCTTTATATATTTTGCATGTTAATCCCTTATTAGATATATGATTTACAATACCCATAGGTTGCCTTTTCCTTGTCGTTTTATTTGACATGCAAAAATTAAGTTTGAAGTAGTCTCATCTGTCTGTTTTTTCATTTTGTAGCATGTACTTTTGATGCCATATCTAAGAAATCAGTGCCAAATCCAATGTCCTGAAGCTTTTCCCCTATGTTTTCTTCTAGGAGTTTAATAGTTTTAGGTCTTACACTTAGGTCTTTAATTTATTTTGAGTTAATTTTTGTATATGGTGTATGGTAGGGGTCCAAGTTCATTCTTTTGCATGTAGATACCCAGTTTTCCCAACACCGTTTGTGGAAGAAACTGTTCTTTCCCCATTGTATAGTCTTGGCACCCTTGTTGAAAATCATTTGACCAGATTTGCAAGAGTTTGTTTCTGGGTTCTCTATTCTCTTCCTTTGGTCTACATATCTATCTTTATGCTACTACCACACCATCTTAATTATCAGGAAGTCTGAGCCCTCCTACTTCATTCCTCTCTTGCAAGATTGTTTTGACTGTTCAGGGTCCCTTGAGATTCCATATGAATTTTAGGACTTTTTTCTATTTCTGCAAAAAGATGTTATTGAGATTTTGATAGGGATTGCATTGAATCTGTAGATAACTTTGAGTGGTATGGACAGTTTTACAATATTAAGTCTTCCAATCCACAAGCACAGGATGTCTTTCCATTTATTTATATCTTTTGATTTCTTTTAGCAATGTTTGTAGCTTTCAGTGTACAAGTCTTTCATCTCTTTAGTTAAACTTGTTCCTAAATATTTTATCCTTTTTGATGCTATAATAAATAGGATTGTTTTCTCAGTTTCCTTTACGGAGTGGTCATGGTTAGTGTATAGAAATACAACTGATTTTCGGGTGTTGATTTTGTATCCTGCCACTTTACTGAATTCATTGATTGGTTCAAACAGTGAGGTAGTTCCTTCTATTCCTATTTTTTTGAGTGTTTTTATCATGTTAAGTTTTGTCAAAAGCTTTTTCTGCATCAGTTGAGATGATCGTGTGGTTTTTATCCTTTAATTTGTTAATGTGATAGACTACATTTATTTTCCCATATTAAACTATCCTTGCATTCCAGATATAAATCCCACTGGCTCATGTGTATGATCCTTTTAATATGTTGTTGAGTCTGGTTTGCTAGTATTTTGTTTAGGATTTTTGCATCAGTATTTATCCAGGGATATTGGTCTGTAGTTTTACTTTGTTGTGATGTCTCTGGTTTTGGCATTAAGGTAATGATGGCCTTATACAATGAGTAAGTATTCCCTCTGCTTTTGTCTTCTGAAAGAGATAATGGAGAATTGGAATGATTTCTTCCTTAAATGTTTGGTAGGATTCACTAGTGAACACATAATGGGCCTGATACTTTGTTTTTGAAGTTTATTAATTACTGATTCAGTTTTTTAAATAGATATATGCCTATTCACATCATCTTTTCCTTGTGTGAGTTTTGGCAAATTATGTCTTTTAAGGAATTGATCAGTTTCATCTAGATTATCAGATTTGTGGGCATAGAACTGTTCAGTTTTCTTTTATTATATTTTTAATTTCCATGAAATATGTAGTGAAGTCCCCTCTTTGATTTCTGATATTAATTTGTGTCTTCTCTCTCTCAGTCTATCTAGAGACTTACCAATTTTACTGATTTTCAAAGAACCATCTTTTTATTTCATTGTATTTCTCTATTGATTTCCTGTTTTCATTTTCAATGATTTGCTCTAATTCTTTTTTTTTCTGCTTACTTTGGATTTAATTTGCTCTTTTTCTAGTTTCCTAAGGGGGAAACTTAAATTTTTGACTTTAGGTTTTTGTTCTTTTCTATTATATGCATCCAGTGCTATAAATTTCCCTCTAAGCACTACTTTCAGTGCATCCCACACATTTTGATAAGTTGTGTTTCCATTTTCATTTAGTTCAAAGTATTTTAAAATTTCTCTTGAGATTTCTTCTTTGACCCATGTGTTATTTAGAAGTGTGCTGTATAATCTCCACGTATTTGGGGATTTTCGAGTCATCTTTTTGTTAGTGATATCCAGTTTACTTAATTCCATTGTGGTTTGAAAGCAGACACTATGATTTCTATTCTTTTAAACTTGTTAAGGTGTGTTTTATGGCCCAGAATATGGTCTGTCTTGGTGCATGGTCCATGTGAGCTTGAGAATAATGTTAATTCTGCTGTTGGATGAAATACTCTATAGGTGTCAATTATATGCAGTTGAATGATGGTGTGGTTGAGTTCCATTATGTCCTTACTGATTTTCTGCCTGCTGGATATGTCCATTTATGAGAGGAGGGTGTTGAAGTCTCCAACTATGATAGTGGATTCATCTATTTCTTCTTGTGGTTCTATCAGTTTTTGTCTCATGTAGTTTGATGCTCTGTTGTTAGGTACATACATGTTAAGAATTGTTATGTCTTCCTGAAGAATTGACCCCTTTATCATTATGTAATATCCCTCTTTATCCATGATAACTTTCCATGTTTTTAAGCCTGCTCTATCTAGAATTAATATAGCTACTTCTGTTGTCTTTTGATAAGTGTCAGCGTGGTCTACTTTTCTACATTCATTTACTCTTAATCCATATGTGTCTTCATATCTAAAGTGGGTTTCTTATAGACAGCATACAGGTGGGTCATGTTTTTTATGCACCCTGAAAAATCTCTTTTAATTGATGCATTTAGACCATTGACATTTAAAGTGATTATTGATGTAGTTGAATTTATATCTACCATTTTGTTACTGTTTTCTATTTGTTACCTTTATTTTTTGTTCCTGTTTTCGTCTTCCACTCTTTTCTGCCTTTTGTGATTTTAAATGAACATTTCATATGATTCCATTTTCTATCCGTAGCATACTTTCTTTTTTTATACTTTTTTTAATTTTACTTTTTAAACTCTTTTTAGTGGTTGCCCTAGAGCTTACAGTACACATTTACAGTTAATCCATGTCCACTTTTAAATAACACTGTTACCACTTTGTGGATAGCATGAGTACCTTATAATAAAATAATGCTAACTCCTTCCTCCCATCCCCTCTATCATTGCTGTCATTTACTTCACTTATATATATAAGTATACATTAGCATACACACACACATAAGATAAATATATAAGCATATGTAATCAAATACATTGTTGCTATTATTATTTTGAATAAACTGTTATCTGTTAGACTAATCAAAAATAATAAAAGGGTTTTTTTTTTTTTTTTGCCTTCATTTATTCCTTCTTCAGTGCTCTTCCTTTCTGTATGTAGATCCGAGTTTCTGACCTACATTATTTTCCTTCTCTCCAAAGGACCTGTTTAACATTTCTTGCAAGGCACGTGTACTGGCAACAAGTTCTCACAATACTTGTTTATATGAGAAAGTCTTTCTCTTTCACTTTTGCAGGAAGTTTTCACAAGGTACAGAATACTAGATTGGTGGGGTTTTTTTCTCAGTAATTTAAATATTTCATGCCACTCTCTTCTTGCTTGCATGGTTTCCGAGAAGTTGAATGTAAATCTAATCTTTGTTCCTCTATAGGTGGGATCTTTTTTCCCCTCTGGCTTCTTTCAGGATTTTTTCTTTGATACTCTGCAGTTTAAAAATGATATGCCTAAAGAAAGAAAATTATATGCCTAGGTATAGGTTTCCTAACATTTATCCTGTTTCGTGTTCTTTGAGCAGCTTAGATATGTAATTTAGTGTCTGACATTAATTTGGGGAAGTTTTCAGTCATTATTCTTTTTTCTCTTTCTTCCCCTCTGGTATTTCTGTTACAGATATGTTATTTCTTTTGTAATTGTTCCAGTCTTTGGATATTTTGTTCTGTTGTTTCAGTCTTTGTTCTCTTTGCTTTCCAGGTTTTGAGGATTTTATTGATAAATTCTTTAACTCACAGAATCTTTCCTCAGCTGTGTTAAATCTACCGAAAAGCCCATCAAAGGCATTCTTCATTTCTGCTACAGTGGTTTTGATCTCTTAACATTTCATTTTGTTTCTTTCTTAGGATTTCCATCTTTCTGCTTACATTGCCCACCTCTTCTAATATGCTGTATACTTTATCCATTAGAGCCCTTAGCATATTAAACATACTTGTTTAAAATTTCTGACCTGATAAGTCAAACATCCCTGCCATATTTGAATCTGGTTTTGATGCTTGCTTTGTCTCTTCAAGTTGTGTTTTTTGCCTTTTGGTATATCTTCTAATTTTTTCTTGATAGCTAGCCATGATATACCATTTAAAAGGAACTGCTCTAAATAGGCCTTTAGTGATGTGATGGTGAGGTGGGGGAGGGAAGAAGTCTTTAGTCCTATGATTAGGTTTTCAGTCTTTTAGTGAGACTTCTCTGGATTGTGAACATCACAAGTGATTCTGTTTTTCCCTCCCACATTAGGTGGGACAAGCTGGCTACAGCCAGGTGGAGTTGGATATTTTCCTTCCCCAGGTCAATTAAGCTCTGATAATACCTCAGCCTGGTAGGCTCTGGTTACCTACCTAGTGTCCCTGAGGGCAGGCCTGGTTAAGAGGAACAGACTGATCTGGCATATTTCAAAATGATTCCTTTTCCCCACCCCCTGGAGGCAGCCCAAGATAATTTTTCTCCTATATTTAACGTGAGAATCTGATCAAACTCCTAAAGGTAAATCTTGCCATATTGTGTGGGCTGCTTTGACTAGGTCCCCCTGGAGTTTTTAACTCTCAGAGTTGTTGGCACTGAGCCTCCAACAATTCATTAATTATAGTTTAGGTTTTCCTGCCCCAGCACAGGTTCCCATGGTGGTTATGCTTGTGAGTCTCTGCTCCAGTAAGCTTCAGTTTGTCTCTCCAGTGTTGGAGGAAGTGGTTCGCCCCATGCCCTCCCCTCTATAATGGATCTAAGAAGAGTTGTAGGGCAAAATGGTGACTTCCAAACTTTTACATGAGGAGCCAGAAACCAGAAGTCCAGTTTGGTTTTTTTTTAATATTCGATTTTAAGAATACATTTTAAAAATTTACAATTTTATTGAGCCACATACTGTAAAATTCATCCATATTAAGTGTATAATTCAGTAGTTTTTGCTAAATTTACCAAGTTGTGCCACCATCGCCATAAACCAGTTTTAGAACAGTTTTGTCACCTCAGTAAGATCCCTCATGACTATTTACAGATAATCCCCATTCCCACCTTCAGCCACAGGCAACCAGTAATTTACCTTCTGTCTGTATTTTACCTTCTGCCTTTTCTGGACATTTCCTATAATAAAACTACATTCATCTGCTGAACAATGTATGGAGTTTAATGTGGTATATGGTATACATTTATTCTCTAAATAAAACCTTTATTTATTCATTTCCAATTGCACTTCCCTGAATTTCAGTTATGAAGTGTTTCTATAAAGCCCTTACTGTGTTAAAACCATAATGAGACACTAAAAAGTTATTCTGATTATCATTGTTATTATGATAATGATTGCAAATAGCTTTATTTTTCTAGCACAGGAAAACAAATTGAATTTCTTGATGTCTTTCAGACTTACGGTCTAAATGTGAGACCAAGAAGTTATCTCCATATCAGTGCAACAAATCTGGGCAAAGCATCTATCAGAAAGCAGTTTCTGCACCACAAAAAGTTCCCACAGGAAAGAGAGGCTGCAAGAAAAATTCAGTCCTAATAAAACCCAAGAAAGTGCATTCAAAGAAGAAATCTCTAAAATGTAACGACTGTGGGAAATTCTTTAGTCAAAGCTTATCTCTTAAACTTCATCAGAACTCTCATACTAGAGAGAAGCCTTATGAATGCAGTAATTGTAGAAAAGCTTTCAGACAGATCTCATCCCTTATTCTTCATCAGAAAATTCACAATGGAAGGAAAAGCTATGAATGTGATAAATGTGGGGAAAGCTTCATTCAAAGAACAACCCTTATTTTACATGGGAGAAGTCACGATGAAAAGGAAATCTTTGACTGTGGGAAGACCTTGAGTCAATGCCAATCTCTCAGTATACATCAGAAAATCCACCTTGTCCAAAATGTCTACCAGTGCAGAAAATGTGAGAAAGGCTTCATTCGAATGTCATCTTTTTTACTTCATAAGAAAATTCACAATGGAAAGAAAATACATAAATGCAATGAATGTGGGAGAGGCTTCAGTAAGAAATCAGTCCTTGTTATACATAAAAGAATTCATACTGGAGAGAAAACCCATGAAAGTGAGAAGGCCTTAAGTCAGAGTTTACAGCAGCGAAGTCACCATGTAGAGAATCCTTATAAATGCAGAAAATGTGGGAAATTCTTTAATAGGATTTCATCCATTATGCTTCATCAGAGAATTCACGCTTCAAAGAAACCCTACAAATGTGATAAATGTGAGAAGATATTCATGCGGCTTTCAACCTTTACTCTACACGTAAGAATTCATAATAGAGAGAAACTATACAGATGTAATAAATGTGAGAAGGTCTGCAACCGGCATTCATCCCTTATTCAACATCAGAAAGTTCATACAAAGAAAAAGAAACTGTTTGAATGTAAGGAATGCGGGAAGATGTTTTCTGGAATTGCCAACCTTAAAATACATCAAAACATTCATTCTGAAGAGAAACCTTTCAAATGCAATAAATGTAGTAAAGTTTTTGGCCGCCAATCATTTCTTATTGAACATCAGAGGATCCATACTGGAGAAAAACCCTATCAATGTGAGGAATGTGGGAAAGCCTTCAGTCACCGAATATCTCTGACTCGACATAAGAGAATTCATACTGAAGATAGACCCTATGAATGTGATCAGTGTGGGAAGGCCTTCAGTCAGAGTGCACACCTCGCCCAACATGAAAGAATTCACACTGGAGAGAAACCATATACATGCAAAACGTGTGGGAAGGCCTTTAGCCAGCGTACATCCCTTATTCTACATGAAAGAAGTCATACTGGAGAGAAACCCTATGAATGTAACGAATGTGGGAAGGCATTTAGCAGTGGCTCAGATCTTATTCGGCATCAGAGAAGTCATTCTTCAGAGAAACCCTATGAGTGCAGTAAATGTGGGAAGGCATATAGTCGGAGCTCATCCTTGATTCGACATCAGAATACACATTCTGAGGAAAAGGCTTAAGATTGTTTTAAGTATGTAAAAGCTAAGAGGGAGGCTAGCAAAGTAGCAGAGACACAGGCATGGGAAAACGCATTTGTCTATAACATAAATTGTGTAAAAATGGGACAGTTTGATGGTGTGTCCCACTTTGAAACCCAAAGAGCAAAAGTCATTGGTGATTTTGACCTGAGTATTTGAAATCAACTGAGGCAGTGACTTTATCACAGGTCTTTGTTTCAAAATAGCAAGCTCAGATGATTGGATCAGTCATTTTTAATGAAGAGCATTCTTCATTTGATAAAAATAACTGGTACTTTATTTCCAATGTAATTTTAAAGCTATTTCATTGGTTATGTACAACAAAGTGAATTGTAAATCCATTTTTCTGGATGGAGCTGTGAGCCTGATTTAAGGTCACATGAAGGAAGAGTTTGAGTTTGTCCCTTAGAACTAGAAGTATCACACAGAAGGGATTTCCTCACAAACCAGGGTGCCATTTTCAGCTGGCAGAAACTTCTGGTTGAGAATAAAGAAGATTGAGTAAAGATAGCACTCATAATTGTGTGAAGCAATAGAGTCATTACCATACTGTCTCTATGGATATGAAGACATATGATCTTAATGGTGTGAAAAATCTAACAAGCCTGGGATAAGCTAATGAGGAAAAAAAACCAGGATGTATTGAAGAATGAGGAACTTCAGAACAAGGAGAAATCATTTGTTATTGTTTTGTTTGAAAATGAATTTATATTTATATCAATAAACATTGGTATTTTCATGTGAAAACACTGGTGTACAAGTGATTGGTGGAGAATGGGATGTCATGGACTGAATGTGTCCTCCCAAAATTCGTTTGTTAAAACGCTAACCCCAATGTGATTGTATTTGGAATTGAGGCCTTTGGGAGATAATAAGGGTTAGATGAGGTCATGAGGGTGGGGCCCTCATAATAGGATTAGTGTTTTTAAAGAAGAGACACCAGAGACCTCTGCCATGTGAGGACACAGCAAGAAGGTGGCTATCTGCAAGCCGAGAAACTAGACCTCACCAGTATCCAACCTTGTGGCATCCTGATCTCAGACTTTCAGCCTCCCAAACTGTGAGAAATACATTTTGTTTACATCACCCAGTCTATGGTATTTTGTTATGACTGACTAATACATGGGAAAAACCCTGCATTTATGTGCCAGGCTCTTTCATGTCAGCTGTTCACCATATATATAATAGTTTTCAGTGCTGCTTTCCAGTTTGTGCAAAATGTGTAAGAAATAAAATCAGAATTCTTTTTTGGAATTAGGTTATATACAGTTGGACTCTTCTGTGTGCGTTTTTCTATTGCAAAAGCTACTTTTGAAAGCACCTATATCTAAGACAACTTTGTGAAATGTTTGACCACATGGATTAGGTCCCTCTAACTTTGACCACAGCTGAGAAGACGACAACTGGATTTGTGAAGGGAGCATGCATGTAGGATAATAGAACAATTTTCCATTTAAACTTGTCATATCAGTCTGCAAGATCAGCGTAAAAAATCAACACTTCAAGCAAATGGATGAGCAAACAGCATAGAGAAGGCTCATGGAGGGGCATGTCTTTTCTCCCTATCCTATATACACATCTCTCTACTTTGTTAAGTCCTCTGTCAGTCTGCCATAGAGGTTGGTTCCAAAATAATGGTCACAAACCTAATATGTACTAATAAGACACTGTTCTTGTCTGCAGGCATTTACAGTTTAGGGAATACAGGATATTTAAATATGGAAGCATGTAAGGTACACAGGTAATATAGAGGATGATGAACTCCATGGTGATGGATCACTTGGAGACAGCGATAGTATTAAAGGGAGAATAGATATTTACTAGGCACACAAAAGTTGGGAGGCTATTGAAGGCAAGAGAAAGTACAGAGGTACAAACTAAAGGCAGAGGGTTGTGGAGTATTAGGGGAGTTACAAGTTCCAGCATTTAGTACAGTGACTGGCACATAGGAAGTAGTAAGTACTCAATAATATTGAATGAATGAATGAAAACATCTTAGTTTAGCTGGCCTGTCTCTAAGGCATAATCCAAAGAGAACACTGAAATTTGAAGGTCACACAGACATTGAGATTGACACATAGAAAACATGCCCTCACTCTAAGGAATCACTAGTGAATTTTGAAGGCTGTGATGAACTTAGGGTAACCACAGCAAGGAGCAACCTTAAACCTAGTCCAATTTTTATAACTGTATTAATGAAAACCTACATGAAAGGAATAACAGAATAAATGACATGACCGTTTCTAGGGCTTAAATCTGTTTACCTGTTTCTACTCTCCTACATGAGATACCTGGGTTTGGGCCAAAAAATAAAAATTTACAAGACATACAAAAATGCAAGAAAAGTCACCACCCACCAAAAGACAAAGCAGTCAAGAACTAGACCCAGACTACCTCACACAGAATTTTAAATGTTAAAGGCTCTAATGAAAAAAGTGTACAACAGGCAAATTAGATGGGTCATTTGATCAGAGATGGAACTATGAGAATCAAATGGAAATACTGAAATGAACACAGTAAAGAGATGGGAACAATACCTTCAACAGGCTCAAAGGTATACTTGACATAGCCAAGGAAAGAATAAGTCAACTTGAAGGTAAGTCAATAAGAATAGCCAAACTGAAACACAGAGGAGGGCAGGGGTCACAGAACAAATCGTCCAAGAGCTGTGGGAAAAGATCTATTGGTCCAACACATGCAGAATTGGATTCCTGGAAGGAATAGAGAAATTGGGTGGGAAGAAATATTTGAATAAACAATAGATAATGACACCAGAACAAAAATCTATAAAGCTTCAAAGAATACAAGGAAAGATTTTTTTTTAAAAGACGTTACATAGGAACAAAAGGGGGAAAAAACTGTCTATGAAATTTTTCATGAAAATGTTTTTCAGAATTGATAGAGAAATGAAGACTTTCTCAGAGGAGGAAAAAACAGAAAATACATTGCCAGAAGACCCTACTCTTAACTTCATTTAACAGTTCTTTAAACAAAAGGAGATGCACAAAGAGATCTGGAAATGGAATAAATGAAGGTAAGATAGTTTTTTTTAAAACTTATCTACCTAAAAGCTGTCTAAAACAGTATGCTATAGCATATATCAGTGTAAATAGATGATAGAAGCACAAAGGATGTGAGGGAGAAATTAAGAAATATATTGTGTAATATCTTGTTAATGTTACATTATTAAAGATATATTCTGGTTAGTTAAAGACATATTGTAACCTTACAATAACCTCTAAAACATTTTAAAGAGATGTAAGCAGTTAATAGAATAAAATGGAATAATTAAAAATCCTCAGTTAACCCAATAGAAGGCAGAAAGAGAACAAAAACCAAAGAATAGGCAGAACAATTAGAAAATAGTTAAGAGGATGGATGGGTTTTAATCCAAATATATAAAAAATTGCATCAAATATAAATGGTCAAAACACATCAGTTAAAAGACAGATTATAAGATTGAATGAAAAAGCAGGACACAGCTATATGCTGTCTAGCAGAAAGTCACTTTAAAGGTATAGGTAAAAGTTAAGTAGTGGGGAAAGAGAGATCATGCAAGCATTGGTAAAAAGGAAGCTGAATTCACTTTTAATATCACATGAAGTCGACTTCAGAGTAAGGAATATAATCAGGGAAAAAGACAAACACTACATAACAATAAATTTTCTAGGTAAACATAACAATCCTAAACGTATATGCATCAAACTACAGAGGTGCAAATTTCACAAAGGAAAAAAGAAAGTGTAAATAGTCTACAATTATCATTAGAAACTTCACCACTTCTCTCTCAGTCATTGATAGAACAAGTAGAAAATCTGTAAGAATATAAAACTGAACAACATGATCAACCAAATTAATGAGTTGACCTTTATAAAACATTCCACTCCACAAGAGTAGAATACGCTTTCTTTCCAAGTCTTCCAAATGTTCTTTCCACATGGAACATTTCACCAAGAGAGACCGTAAAACAAATCTTAATAAATTTTAAAAATTTAGTTACATATATTCCCTGTTCATACAGAACTAAACTAGCAATAACAGCATGGTATCTGAAAATATTTGGAAGGTTTAAATTACAAATTCCACTTTTTTAATAGATACAGAATTAAATTTACTATTGAATAAGTGGACCTACGCAGTTCAGACCCAAGTGATTTGGGGTCAACTGTAATGAGTACAGAGGAATCACAGAAGTAACTGAAAATGCTGGGATTTAAATCATGATGGGAAAGACCCATTATGTGATACTTTCTGTGCCGTTTTCTGATATGTCACACACTCCTGGAAATACATAAGAATTCAGAAATTGGCTAATAAGCATCAAATAATTTAATCTTCAAACGTGTGGGTTTTTCTTCAGCAGTTTCTTCTTTCTCAGATACATATGGAGAAATTCAGGCAATTCAGGCAGATGTAACAGGTTAGAAATGAGAAAGCCCCCAATTTCCCACCTGATTTTAAAGTCAAGAACTTGACATGTAATTTAACTTCTTAAAGTGCAGACCCCTCCACTGCTCTGGCTGCATCTCGGACCACTCCCCTTGGGCCCCGCCACCTCGAGGAGCAAGCCCACCTTTTCCTCCACTGCTGGCACCACATGACACAGAACCTACATCCTGTGGGCATCTGCTCGATGACCTCGTGCCGAGTTCGCCTCAGTCATTTCTTACTGCCCCAGTATGTTTGATTCCCAGTACTCCTGCCACATTGCCGAAAAATGGAATGAACTTTGAGTCATTTAGAAGAGAACAAGCAGCTATTTGGAAAAAGCCAAGGTAGACTGTATACTCAATCCTATTTTTTTAATTGACCAATCCTATATTTCCTCAAATTCGTTTGCAAGATACAAGTTTTTCAGTTTATGTTCCATGGTCATTAATTCTGCTTTTGACACTTCTTGACTATGAATTTAAAGTTAATGATCTTTTTGTTGACAGACAAAAGCTCATCTACCTTGCCTGCTTCATTATTTAAGATCCCAAAAGGTGAGTTTCACTTTGTATTTATTTCATGAAGCTTATAAAATTTGCTGTGGGAAACTGGGTGTTACTAATTGTAGCAGATATATCAAGAAATCAAACATTCCTTTATAAAAAGCACTTGACAAAGGCTAAACCAGGAATAAGTTGAAGAATTATCTATTTCTTCTTGAGTAAGGTTGGCAGTTTGGTTCTTTCAAGAAAATTTTTCCATTTTATCTAAGTGGTTAAATTTATTTACATAAAGTTCCCAATATTCCCTTATCTGTTTAATAACTGTAGTGATGTCATCTCTGCCATTCCGGATATTGGTAATTTGTATGTTATCTCTTTTTTCTTTCATATTGTCTGAGTGAAGATTTATTGGTTTTATTGACCTGCTTTTGTCTTTTCTGTTTCCTACTGATTTCTTTATTTCCATTTTTATGGTAACTGGGTTTCGTTGCTCTTCATTTTCTAATTTGTTAAGGTGGAAATTGAAGTCATTGATTTGAGAGTTTTATTTTCCAACTTAGTAATATTATGTTTCCTTCTAAGTAATGTGTTAGCTGCATTCCACATATTTTGATATGCTGTGTTACAAGTTTCATTCAATTAAAAATACTTTCTGTTTTGCCTTTTGATTTCTCTTTTAATCCATGGGTTACTAAAAATTGTGCTATTTAGATCCAAATATTTGGGGGATTTTCCAATTATCTTTCTATTATTGATTTCTAACTTAATCCATTCTAGTTAGAAAATATTTTGTATGAATTGAATCCTTTTAAATTTATTGAGATGTGTTTTAAGGCCCGGAATATTGTCTATCTTGGTAAATGTTCTGGGTGCATTTAAAAAGAATGCATATTCTACTGTTCTTGGGTGGAGTGTTTTTTAAATGTCAACTAGATCAAGTTGGCTGACAGTGTTGTTCAAGTCTTCAGTGCCCTTACTGATTTTCAGTCAACTTGTTCTTCGGGAGATGCATGTCAAAATCTATAATTGTGGATTTGTCTATTTCTTTTTTTAAATTGAAGTATAGTTGATTTACAGTGTTGTGTTAGTTTCAGATGTACAGTGGAGTGATTTACTTATATATATATGTATATATATATATATGTTTTTTAGATTCTTTTTCATTATAGGTTATTACAAGATATTGAATATAGTCCCCTGTGCTATACAGGTCATTGTTGTTTATCTATTTTATATATAATAGTGTGTATCTCTTAATCCCAAGCTCCTAATTTATTCCCTCCCCCCACCTTTCCCCTTTTGTAACCAGTTTGTTTTCTGTATCTGTGAGTCTATTGCTGTTTTGTAAATAAGTTCATTTGTATCAGTATCATTTGCTTTAGATTCCACATATAAGCAATATCATTTGATATCTGTCTTTCTCTGTCTGACTTACTTCACTTAATATGATAATCTCTGGGTCCTCCATGTTGCTGCAAATGGCATTATTTTATTCTTTTTTTATGGCTGAGTAGTATTCCATTGTACATATATACCACATCTTTTTTATCCATTCATCTTTTGATGGACATTTAGGTTGTTTCCATGTCTTAGCTATTGTAAATAGTGCTGCAGTGAACATTGTCGTGCATGTATCATTTCAAATTATAATTTTCTCTGGATATATGCCCAGGAGTTGGATTGCAGGATCATATGGTAACTCTATGTTTAGTGTTTTAAGAAACCTCCTTACTGTTCTCCATAGTGGCTGTACCAATTTACATTCCCACCAACAGTGTAGGAGGGTTCCCTTTTTCCCACACCCTCTCCAGCATTTATTATTTGTGGACTTTTTGATGATGGCCATTCTGACTGGTGTGAGGTGATACCTCATTGTAGTTTTGATTTGCATTTCTCTACTGATTAGCAATGTGAAGCATCTTTTCATGTGCCTGTTGGCTATCTGTATATCTTTTTTGGAGAAATGTCTGTTTAGGTCTTCTGTCCATTTTTTAAATTTTTTTAAATTGGGTTATTTGTTTTTTGATTTTGAGCTGTATGAGCTATATGTATATTTTGGAAATTAATCCCTTGTGGTTGCCTCATTTGCAAATATTTTCTCCCATTCCCTAGGTTGTCTTTTGTTCCGTTCATGGTTTCTTTTGTGTTCAGAAACTTTTAAGCTTAATTAGGTCCAGTTTGTTTATTTTTGCTTTTATTTCTGTTACTTTAGGAGAAGGATCCAAAAAAATATTGCTACAATTTATGTCAAAGAGTGTTCTGCTTATGTTTTCCTCTAGGAGCTTTATAGTGTCCAGTCTTATGTTTAGGTATTTAATCCATTTTGAGTTGATTTTTGTATACAGTGTTATAGAATGTTCTAATTTCATTCTTTTACATGTAGCTGTCCAGTTTTCCCAGCACTTATTATTGAAGGTACTGTCATTTCTCCTATATATATATATATATATTTTTTTTAATTTAATTTATTTTTTGGGTCTTTGTTGCTGTGCATGGGCTTTCTCTAGTCGTGACGAGCGGGGCCTACTCTTTGTTGTAGTATGCAGGCTTCTCACTGTGGTGGCTTGTCTTGTTGTGGAGCAGGGCTCTAGGCATGTGGGCTCCGTAGTTGTGGCTCGTGGGCTCTAGAGCATAGGCTCAGTAGTTGTGGCACATGGGCTTAGTTGCTCCGCGGTGTGTGGGATCTTCCCAGACCAGGGCTTGAACCCATGTCCCCTGCATTGGCAGGCGGATTCTTAACCACTGCACCACCAGGGAAGCCCTCCGTTTTATATTCTTGCCTCCTTTGTCGTAGGTTAATTGACCATAAGAGTGTGGGTTTATTTCTGGGCTTTCTGTCCTGTTCCATTGATCTGTCTGATTTTGTGCCAGTACTGTACTGTTTTGATTACTGTCGCTTTGTATTATAGTCTGAAGTCAGGGAGCGTGATTCCTCCAGCTCCATTCTTTCTTAAGATTGCTTTTGCTACTAGGAGTCTTTTGTGTTTCCATACAAATTAAAAGTTTTTTTGTTCTAGTTCTGTGAAAAATGCCATTGGTAATTTGATAGGAATTGCAATGAATCTGTAGATTGCCTTCAGTAGTATGGTCATTTTAACAATATTGATTCTTCCAATCCAAGAACACTGTGTATCTTTCCATCTGTTTGTATTGTCTTCAGTTTCTTTCATCAGTCTTATACAGGTCTTTTGCCCTCTTGGATAGGTTTATTCCTCAGAATTTTATTCTTTTTAATGCAGTGACAAATGGAATTGTTTCCTTAATTTTTCTTTCTGATATTTTGTAGTTAGTGTATAGAAATTCAACAGATTTCTATATATTAATTTTATATCCTGCAAATTTACTGAATTTATTGATGAACTCTAGTATTCTGGTAGTGTCTTTATGATTTTCTATGTATAGTATCATGTCATCTGCAAACAGTGACAGTTGTACTTCTTCTTTTCCAATTTGGATTTCTTTTCTTGTTTTTCTTCTCGGCTTGCTGTGGCTAGGACTTCCAAAAGTATGTTGAATAAAAGTGGTGAGAGTGAGCATCCTTGTCTTGTTCCTAGAGGGAATGCATTCAGCTTTTCACCATTGATTATGATGTTAGCTTTATCATATATGGTTTTCATTGTGTTGAGGTATGTTCCCTCTATGCCCACTTTCTGGAGAGTTTTTATAAATGGATGTTGAATATTGTCAAAAGCTTTTTCTGCATCTATGGTAATGATCATATGGTTTTCATTTTCCAGTTTTTTAATGTTGTGTATCATCACATTGACTGATTTGTAGATATTGAAAAATCCTTGCCTCCCTGGGATAAATCCCACTTGACATTGGTTGTGTGATCCTTTTAACCTATTATTTGGTTTGCTAGTATTTTGTTGAGGATTTTTGCATCTATGTTCACCAGTGATATTGACCTGTAATTCTTTTTTTTGTGATATCTTTGAGTTTTTTGTTTTTTTGTTTTTGGCCATGCCACACAGCTTGTGGGGTCTTAGCTCCCTGCCCACGGATTGATCCTGGGCCCCCTGCAGTGGCAGCATGGAATCCTAACTACTGGACCACCAGGGAATCTCTGTCAGATTTTGCTGTCAGGGTGATGGTGGTTGCACAGAATGAGTTTGGAAGTGTTCCTTCCTCTGCAGTTTTCTGGAATCATTTCAGAAGGATAGTTGTTAACTTCTCTAAATGTTTGGTAGAATTCACCTGTGAAGCCATCTTGTCCTGGACTTTTGTTTGTTGGGAGTTTTTAAATTACTGATTCAATTTTAGTACTGGCAATTGGTCTGTTCATATTTTCTGTTTCTTCCTGTCTCAGTCTTGGGTGATTGTACCTTTGTAAGAATTTGTCCATTTCTTCTAGGTTGTCCATTTTATTGGCCTATAATTGCTCATAGTACTCTCTTATGATCCTTTTTATTTCTGTGTTTTCGGTTGTAACTTCTTTTTCATTTCTGATTTTATTATTATTTTTTCAAATTTACTTGTTTTGTGGTATGCGGGCCTCTCACTGTTGTGGCCTCTCCCGTTGCAGAGCACAGGCTCTGGACGCGCAGGCTCAGCGGCCATGGCTCACGGGCCCAGCCACTCCGCGGCATGTGAAATCTTCCCGGACCGGGGCACGAACCCGTGTCCCCTGCATCCGCAGGCGGACTCTCAACCACTTGCGCCACCAGGAAAGCCCTCTGATTTTATTGAAATGGGCCTTCTCCCTTTTTTTTTTTTTGATGAACCTGGCTAAAGGTTTATCAATTTTATTTATCTCTTCAAAGAACCAGCTTTTAGTTCCATTGATCTTTTCTATTTTTTTAGTCTCTATTTCATTTGTTTCTGCTCTGAATCTTTATGATTTTTTTCCTTCTAACTTCAGGTTTTGTTTGTTCTTCTTTCTCTAGTTCCTTTATGTGTAAGGTTAGGTTGTTTATTTGAGCTCTTCCTTGTTTTCTGAGTCAAGATTGTATCACTGTAGATTTCCCTCTTAGAACTGCTTTTGTGGTGTCCCATAGGTTTTGGATTGTCATGTTTTCATCTCTAGGTATTTTTTCATTTCCTCTTTGATT